GCGTGTTCGTTAATTTCGGATGATGAGGACGTTAGTTGTCCAAATACAGGCTGGAGACGATGAACAGTACCTTCGCAGGTTTTATTTTTCTTTTCTGCAGTTTACGACTCGATTTGGGCTCCTGAGAGTTTCAGATTTCGTCAGGAAGCACAGAAAAAATAGTCATGAGAATAGATAGAGACAATATGATAATGAGAGGCGGGGAGTTACGCCTCCATGCAAATCCCGGAAACAAAGAAAGATCGATGCAATCCGATCTTGGCATGTTGGGAAAGTCCAGACCTCTCCCGCTGTGCGTACGTCTTGAGATAAGAGTCCCTCCCCGGGGGAACTTGACGGCCTTCAGGGACTCTCCCGAGGTGGGGGTCAAGGGGCACTAAAGGTGATTGTAATCACAGTAAGCAGGAAATACCTGCAACAGCATTCTACATTCTTTGTTTCAAGTGTTTGAACAGAACCAACAACAGAGAGAGGCTAAAAAAATCACAGTCAGGAAATGGATTCCTTAACAGGAACCAGTCCAAGGTCAGCAACTTCTGAGCATTTTGCCAGTAACAAATGATCTTAAAATTTCTATTTCAATCAAACAACACAAGAATTCGGTTCAATGGTGAATCATGACTGTGTCAAGTTAGACGAGGTCATGGCTGGGAAACCGTCGACGGGAATCATCAGCATTCTGTCATGCACAACTGATCGTTCAACTTCCTGCAATGGTTTCTCTAAATCTCAAAGATGTTTGGTCCCAGAATGCTACCAGGACGTTTACATTGTCAAACCAAAGCAAAACTTCCATTTATTTTCACTGTCATACGATAGATGAGGATAGCGTAAGGCAAGTGGCTTAAGGCGCCCTGCGATTGGCTGGCAACCGGTTCAGGGTGTCCCCCGCCTACTGCCCGAAGACAGCTGGGAGAGGCTACAGCACCCCCCCCCACACACACACACACACACCCCCCTGACACTTGTGAGGATAAAGCGGATCAGAAAAGGGATGGATGGAAGTGCTTTAAGGCAAATTAACCCAGACAGGAAGTTGGCAACGCTTCTGTCTTTGGTCAAGGGACTTGTCTGGAAATCAAACTTAGGCGTGCTGGTAGTTGTTGTAACTGACAGTGAAGATCACTGTGACCGACTAGTCCGCAGTCAGATGCGATCAAAATCGGACAGAGAGAAAACCCATTCAGGCACCGAAAACACCTCAAATGCAGGATTCCTAACTGGACTGTGAGTCGAGGAAATAGACCCTCGACTCTTGCTTTGGCTCGGTTCCCACGCAGGTGGCGGAACTGATTTCCACCGCCGACGGATTTGAGAGTCATGCAAACAACGTGTTTACGCATTTTGTCTCCTAAAGGCGCGGCGGCGCTTTGAAAGGAGAGCGACTACTTTATCAGAAGTGACAGGGCTTGATGCCTCTTCCCTGGGACGAGGGCCCAGAGAAAAACACACATGGACGGCGTAACGAAGAGGAAAAGGCGCAAACAAAAAGACGCGCTTGGCAGCTCTTCAAAGCGCGCCGCCACGTGCACCTCCGTTATATATCTCTCGGAAGGTTGTGTTGTTCGTTTTTTTTCCCTCCTTCCTCAGATCACAGACAGATTTAACGACTTGGTGGGTGGCAGAAGCTTCAGGCATGTCATCTTCTTCAGCCTCCACTGGTTTGTCTTTGGCTTTCGGAGAGCATCAAGTTTCTCTCCTAAGTTTCTAAGGCCCTGCGCTACGTCTTCCAACGCGCGTCCCTTGAGGAAACGGGCGGGGGGGAACAACGTGGGCCTGCTTTCGCCCGGCGGCTTTTTACTCAGGAGTTTCTAAGCAGCAATCTGAATGGAGAACACAAAGCCTATTCTTTATTGAAGGTAACAAGTCATTCAAAACCTCCCCTCATCCTTCAACAGCCCGGTGTAATTGTTCCACCGGTGGCGGGCGTTAATTATTCACGCGAGTGTGGCAAGCAATCGCTGCCATCCATCACCACCAACTGAGGCTCTGCCAGTCTCGAAACGTACCAGCTTGTGTGTGCCATTAGCAGGTCGCTAACTGAACAAGCAACCCCCCCCCCCACACACACACACACCCCCCTGACACTTGTGAGGATAAAGCGGATCAGAAAAGGGATGGATGGAAGTGCTTTAAGGCAAATTAACCCAGACAGGAAGTTGGCAACGCTTCTGTCTTTGGTCAAGGGACTTGTCTGGAAATCAAACTTAGGCGTGCTGGTAGTTGTTGTAACTGACAGTGAAGATCACTGTGACCGACTAGTCCGCAGTCAGATGCGATCAAAATCGGACAGAGAGAAAACCCATTCAGGCACCGAAAACACCTCAAATGCAGGATTCCTAACTGGACTGTGAGTCGAGGAAATAGACCCTCGACTCTTGCTTTGGCTCGGTTCCCACGCAGGTGGCGGAACTGATTTCCACCGCCGACGGATTTGAGAGTCATGCAAACAACGTGTTTACGCATTTTGTCTCCTAAAGGCGCGGCGGCGCTTTGAAAGGAGAGCGACTACTTTATCAGAAGTGACAGGGCTTGATGCCTCTTCCCTGGGACGAGGGCCCAGAGAAAAACACACATGGACGGCGTAACGAAGAGGAAAAGGCGCAAACAAAAAGACGCGCTTGGCAGCTCTTCAAAGCGCGCCGCCACGTGCACCTCCGTTATATATCTCTCGGAAGGTTGTGTTGTTCGTTTTTTTTCCCTCCTTCCTCAGATCACAGACAGATTTAACGACTTGGTGGGTGGCAGAAGCTTCAGGCATGTCATCTTCTTCAGCCTCCACTGGTTTGTCTTTGGCTTTCGGAGAGCATCAAGTTTCTCTCCTAAGTTTCTAAGGCCCTGCGCTACGTCTTCCAACGCGCGTCCCTTGAGGAAACGGGCGGGGGGGAACAACGTGGGCCTGCTTTCGCCCGGCGGCTTTTTACTCAGGAGTTTCTAAGCAGCAATCTGAATGGAGAACACAAAGCCTATTCTTTATTGAAGGTAACAAGTCATTCAAAACCTCCCCTCATCCTTCAACAGCCCGGTGTAATTGTTCCACCGGTGGCGGGCGTTAATTATTCACGCGAGTGTGGCAAGCAATCGCTGCCATCCATCACCACCAACTGAGGCTCTGCCAGTCTCGAAACGTACCAGCTTGTGTGTGCCATTAGCAGGTCGCTAACTGCATGCCACTTATCACGAGAACTCGGGTATGTTGGTATGTATAAGTAATAACAGGAGGAGTCTATTTGAGGGAGTTTTTTTTTTTTTTTTTTGTGCTACATAGATGATGTACCTGGGAAATAATGTCCCCATGTGGTTAGTTAGAGGAAATAGGGTACAAAAGATAAGGGAGGTGTCTATTTGAGAGAGGCATTTATTTCTTTGAAATGGATAACACACCTGGAGCCTCATTGGGATATGGTGACGATTATTTGAGGAACTGTGGTATGTTTGTTCTAATTTTTAAGTGATATATCAAGGGAGGTGCTTATTTTGCTATGTTGAAGATGAAACTGATTAATTTGGGTAACATTCGTCCTCATTACAACGGACGAGGGAGTCGTCCATTTGAGGGGGTATTCGTTTGTGTTAAATAAATGGAACAAGGTGTCTATTATTTGAGGAAATAATGTGCAGTGGGACCTCTACTTACGAACGTTTCTTCATATGAAATTTTCAAGTCACGAAATGCCTCAACAGGAAAATAATGCCTCTTGTTACGAAAGAAATTTCAAGATACGATATGTAAAAGTACACTATTGCCTGCTAATCGCAGCTCCGAGTTTCCTGAACGCAACATACTTTTATTACAGTCAATAGGAGGAGGCATTTATTTGTCTGAAATAGATAATATACCGACTAAATGGGGCAGAGCGTTTCCGAGAAAAAAGAGGCTGCATTGGTTTGCATCATTTTTGGTAAGACATAGGAGGCCTTTATTTTTCTTGAATGAAGACCGCACCCGTGAACTAACTGGCATGCGGTATCTATTACTGTAAATTGGACGTATTAGGTTAATAACAGAGGAAATTGGGTATTTTGTCAGCCAATGTGAGCCAAGTATCCGTTTGACACGTTCGAAACTGGTACTCACGCTCTGTCCGTGCCGTAACTGCGGTAGTCCACCGCCGCCGAGACGGCCACAACGAGGGCCGGCACCCCGTAGCCCACCAGATAGAAGTAGCGTCGACGCGAGTGCTCGCTCTCGAACACCTCCACCAGCAAGATGTAGAGCTGCACCCCCTCCAGGAACATCCAAGTGAAAGCCGCCAGGAAGAAGAAGTGCAGCAAGGCGGCGAAGACGGCGCATGCGATCTGAAGGGTGTGCAGGGGGAAGGTCACTTTTTTTTTTGTGTGTGTGTGCGTGTTTTGGTCACGCGATTCGATAAATGCTGATTTGCGAAGTGCTCCAGATGACCAACGTGGCACAATTTCCTGTTGTTCCGTGTATGTTTTTGCATCGCTTTTGTATCATTGCGGTGGAATAATGGTGGCATGAATTCCCTACTAAAGATGCAGGTAACAAATGCACAAGCTGCCACTGTGTTCAGGTGGAATGCTTTAATCGGCGCCCCTTCTCTCACGTTATATAGCGCACACACAGCGTTGACTAATTATGTGCGCAGTTGAACATTACTAGCTTATTTTGTCCCTGAAATTGATTCAATTAAATGTGCTAAGGCTTGAGTGGACATTAATTGTGTACCGTGAGAGAGCCATGAATCGCACCCATAAAATCTTATGGAAAGCAAAAAAAAAAAGCATTACCTTGAATGCAGAGGATACTTCCTGAAGGCATTCAAAGCCAGACAGAAATGTTGCAAAAGGCTAGCTATTAACACCCAAAAATATTCTTTGTATTTTTACAAAAAAAAAAAAAAAATCTTATCAAAGCACTTTTTACTTTTCGAAACGGTTTTGAAAGTGGTTGCATGCAAAAAAAAAAAAAAAAAAATCCAAAAAATGGTTGTTGAGCCAACACTGACATTGGGAATATTATTACAAAGTTAAACAGTAAAAACATTATTTTTACTATTACTATTATCCTTATTTTATTTAAAATATATCTGGAATCATCATTTCACATGCACGATCCAGTGGTGAGCGCGTCGACCTCACAGCGCAGAAGCACCGGGTTCAATTCCAGCTCCGGCCTCCCTGTGTGGAGTTTGCATGTTCTCCCGGGCCTGTGTGGGTTTTCTCTGGGTACTCCGGTTTCCTCCCACATTCCAAAATCATGCATGGGAGGCTGATTGAACACTCAAAATTGTCCCTCGGTGTGAGTGTGAGCGTGGATAGTTCTTCGTCTCTGTGTGCCCTACGATTGGTTGGCCACCGGTTCAGGGTGTCCCCCGCCTACTGCCCGAAGATGGCTGGGATAGGCTCCAGCACCCCCCTGCGACCCTTAGGATAAGCGGATGGGAAAATGGATGGCTGGATGGCATTTCACATGCCATAACAATTACTATTGCTGAATGCAATTTAATTCATTTTAATTTCTCTCACAGGATGAATGAAATATTTACCTACTATAGATTTGAAATGTATTTTTACAAACAGTTAGCTATTTGAAGTGACGTTGGAGTCTTACCGGCTGGTCAGCCCGATTGATCCCGACGAGGAACAGGGACTCTGCGATGAAAAGGCAGATGCACAAGTTCTTGTGGATGGTGTTGCGGTCGCTCTGGAGGCCGCGGAAGAAGCAGAAGGTGAAGAGGCTGACCAGCAGGCACACCAGCGAAAGGAGGATGCCCACCCAAGTGATGACATCCAGAAGTATGTCGTGAACCGGGTCTGTGTTCTGTTACGGAGGGAAAAAAACCCCATCAATCCACTTCCCGTTACCGTGTTTCTCACGAAGAGCAATAATGTTCCTCGGGCGATTCGACCTGGTGTGTGATTAATGATCCAACAGTGTCAGAAAAGTTGTTTATCTCTTTATTAACTCAACTTGCAAAGATGTGAAATGAAAAAGTCCCCCGATAAATTCTGGCGCAGAGGCAGATGATTCTAATATATGTTTCCGTGCATAAATCCTGGCAAAAAATATTTTTAAAAGCGAGGCACAGATTGCCTGAGGATTTCCCATCTGGATGCGCTATCATATCATTACCTGACGACTTGCTATCATGATGTTAATGGGAAAGACAGATGCCAAAATATTTTTTGAAAAAGGTTTTTCCCGTGTATGAAGCTTAAAGTAGTGACATCTTGATTTATTAACTCCACATAATTACTGCCCCCAAATACTCCGGTCAGCTTTTGAGGTGCTTTAATTTCCCAGAGGGCGAGTCCTCTTTTTCAGGCTGCTGGGCAGTGATTTAAGGAGGAAAAAAAAAATGTCTTCAAAAGAGACCAGTACAAGAGCAAACTACTACTAGATTTTGTTGATCACGTATACTAGACTATCACGGCAAGTTTGATGCCTCGCACTAAAACACTGGCTTGCAGCGAAAAGCCGTTTGCGCCGCCGCGCTCAGCAGGTGCAAGGCTGATGCGTCGGGCGTCACTTGCTTCATAGCATTGTGAGAGCGAGGACCCCGAGGTCGACGGGCCTAGCGAGCTGAACAAGCTCTATCCATCACACTCTCACCTTCAATTGAATGAAAGAAAAAAGAAAAAAAAAGAAGAATGCACGGGAGGAAGGCTGCTGCAGAAACACAGTGAAGGGCAGCGAGTGTATCTACACCTCGGTGATGGATTTACTGTGAAACGATTTCTTTATTCTTGGAGGTGGATGATGGCCGCGAGCCACGATGACTCTGCTGGGAGGGAGCGGGGGTTGGGGCGGGGGCTCAGCTCAAGGCGGGGTGCCAAATGATGCAATCTGCACCTCACCTCACACAAAAAAAAAAAAAAAAAAAAAAAAAGCCTCCATGATGGCAGTCCATAGAGGTGTCTTGAAAGCAGGCGGCTGTCATTTTCTGGCATTCACTCACTGTGACACAGCCCGCCCCAAGCTACTTTGGGAAATGTACACGGCGCATACAAGACTAAGCAACATTCATTCGGAATTCAGTCGGTATGTGTTTGTTGGTGTATCTGCCATTTTAATAGGATGCTTTCCTGGAATGGAAAAAAAAAAAAACCTGCCTGCAAAGTCGGTTAGACTTTGCAACAAGAGTTTGGTTGGAATGTCTATTTTGAGTAGAGCCTCAACCACCCCAAAAAAATTAAAATAAAATAAAAAAATAATTTGAAAAATACAAAGGAAGTTAGCCATTTTGTTTTGAAATCACCATTTTGGCTAAGTAGCACCATCTGGAAAAAAGCGACACCCCCCCCCCCAAATAAATAAATAAATAATCAGCCCGCAAAGCCAGTTTGTCTTCGCAACATGAAATTTGGTTGTCATGAATAGAGACACAAAAAGCCTTCAGAAGTCGTGACCACAAAGGCACAGAAAGCCATTTTAGTTTGAAGTAGCTGTTTTAAGATGTCCTTCAAAAAGAAACTTTTGTCCGATCGCACGTCCCAGTTCTACTCGATTGTTGTAATCGTATCCCTGATGGCTGCGTAAACAAATCCCCGGTAAATATGACTGTGTCTTCCAGATTAAATGTATATTCCTTTTGGAACGATTGGGTTTCGGAGTAGAAGAGGGCTTTTGATGTGACGCCGCCGCCGATAACCTTGAGACGTCCTGTTGCCGAGCCTCGAGACATAAGCGCGACGAGATGTTTGAAATTGGTGATAAATAATCACATTTGGCCGTGGGATTGAGAGCTTTTTAACATTTTGCGTGTCTCGACTGGTCCGCGGGCATCGGGTGAATGTCAAACAACAAGCCGTTTCCTTTTTTTGCCAGGCACTGCTTTGAACAGCCCCCCCACCCCACCCCAAATATCCGCAATTTAAATACTGTATTTGTGGAAATGGCTGTGTATTCAGAAGAAATATGCTTTCTTGGCTCCCATTAGACACAATAATGTAAAAATTCTAATTCATATTTCATTTGCTGAAGCTGCCGCTGACTCATTGGTGCATGGCATCTACATATTAGAGTAAATAGGGTCCCTTTTATTCTAATTAGAAGCAACCATGAGTGTGTCTACATGAGGGAGGGGTTTAGTTTTCAGCAGCTGATGCACCTGGCCGCGAGTTGATAGGAAATACGGGATCAATGTCAAACAACAAGACGCAGGAGGACGGTTCCTTTTCTTCACTCGGCGCCGCTTTGAACAACCTTCTTTTTAAAGCCCCTCTAATATGGCCGCTTTTGAAATTCAAATGCGCCATTTGTGACCATTTTTTGATGACGGCTCTTTGAAATTGACTCTCAAGTAGGTAGGATAAGCCCCAGGGGGAAGGCACGGAACTGCCGCTAAACTGCAACTGTTCTCGACGAACCAGTAAGTCTAAATCAGTGGCACATCCCAGCGGATGATGGAGAGGGTGATATTTGGGGAGCATCCATCACTGTCGTCGCCGGGAGAACCTCCACCGCGGCGGCGTCGGAGCGAGACGGCGACGCCAAAGGACAGTCAAGGTTGCCTTTGTTTGCGCGTACATCGGAGGCGGCGATGACAAGAGGGCGAGGACGGCAAAAGGTGCGCAATGTCGGTACGGTACACGGATGCCATCCCGACAGCTGTTCCGCCCGTCATAAATCGGTGGCCCGAGTCACACGACTCCTGGCTGTATTTCAATTCCGCGCAGGCAGATTTACGCTTTGCCAATTGGATTGACTTCATGTTGAGAGAGAGCCGTCGAGCTATACAAGATGACTTCCTTTTCATCACGCCGCACATTGCACGCAGAATGCTTTGGTCCGCAAGTGCCTCCCTCAATTATGGTTACAATGAGGACCAGTATAGGCGGTTTGGCTGCCCATTCTGTTTTTCTGAGAAATAAACAAGGCGAGAGTGTGATCTGATGCAATGAACGACCAAGTGACGCCGGTGACATGTTACCGAGTGACGCGTTACTTTACAATGGCTGCCATTTTGAGTGACTCGTGATCTGATTATATATCATCAAAAGTCCGATTAAAGTTACTATTCGCAGACTTAAGCTGTCATTTTATGACCAATTTGGCGAGATGTACAGAACAGAATGTCTTTCTTCAGAGAGGACAACAACAACCGTGCATTTTGAAATGCCACGGTCTGCTAAATTGATATAGCTTGCACATACAACAAAACTAAGAGGAAACAAAAAATAAAATTTTCATTTCTATGTTAAGCGGCGTTGTCGGCGTCTGAGGCAAGTAACTTCGTTCCTATTAAAATCAAGAAATCAGTCCCCAAGTTATGTTTAAAGTCAACGAATCAATAAAGGGAGTTAATTACTTTTTCAAGGTGACTGTGGCAACGCTGGCGCGAGCAACGCTCAGGCTGTCGGATGGCAGTTTCCTACCTTGACGTCCACGTGGGCCATGAGGACGGCGAAGTTGGTGAGGTGGGTGCAGGAGCAGGTGGTGTGCGTCCTGTTGTTGCCCAGCAAGCGGCAGTCCTGCGTGGACCAGTAGCCGGTCATTGTGCGCTTGGAGTAGCTCCAGAATGAACAGTTTGGGTTAAAGTTCTCCTCGGATTGCTGCGGGAGGCAGAGCGCACATTTGAGGATGACATCTCATTTTGATGCCGCACTGCTTAACATTCCGGTGATGAGCCCAACCGACGTCATTTTGAGACACCGACTTGTTTCGTGTATTCATTTTTTAACATTGAATAAATGAATATAATTTTGAATTGCAAAACAGAGGTAAATGATTTCAAAATTATTTGTTTCAACTAAATATTTTTGTATACTGTATGTACTTTAAAATAAATAAATAAAACATAGTTTGAATGTCTTTTAGAACAGTAACTTTAATTTTCCTACACTGTATTAAAAATCAACAAATTCCACGACATAAAATAATATTTGCATAGAAATCACATGGTAAATAAAGTAACATAACTTGTTTTATTCTGTTTTGTTTTTAATTTGAATAAACACCCCTGATTTAATTTCAAACTTCCAAACTCTGTTTTCATAATTACAATTTTTTTTTGACAAATGCATTTCGCATTTAATGAATAATTTAAAAAACAAAAACAAAAACAAAAACATACTTGAAAAGCGATTCCGTTCTCTTTTGTCACGTGCCGTGCATTTACATACCTGTCGGTGTCTGATGGTAAAGATGACCGGGTCGGAGAGGTAGACTTTATTGGCGTCCTTGTTGATGGCGGCCGTGATCACCGGCGAGTTGACGATGACGGAATAATTGGTTGCCATGGCATCGCTGCCCAACTTCATGCTGGCGTTCTCCGTGGACAAGTACATGCCGATGTGCTTGTACAGCACGAAAGCAATGCGGATCTCACCTGTGAGGGGGCCGAGAACAATTGCACCTCAGAACAAAGTTTACTTTTCATCTCACACCACCCCCAGAGGTGCGCACAACCCACACTTTGGGAATGCTTGAATCTCACCTGTGAGGGGGCCGAGAACAATTGCACCTAAGAACAAAGTTTACTTTTCATCTCACACCCCCTGAGAGGTGCGCACAAACCACACTTTGGGAATGCTTGGTCTAAAGCAGCCATTCCTAAAACTTCAACGCCGCCATCCGAAGTGTTCCGTTAGTCTTCGCAGTAGCTTAATAACTTAATATTCACAAACAAACTGGGTGCAACCTTCCTGAATGCCTCCCCATTGAAAAATATCCTTGACGTATACATCAAAATCAGAAATAGCTTTATTGTCATTGTACTACAGGGTGCAGCAAAACGGAACGGACAAAATCGTCCAAAAGATAATGACCAACAGGAGGTTACAGAACAGGCGTCGGCCGGATCACCAAACAAACAAAACAACGCATAATGGAGGTGGAGCGAAAAAAAGCAACCCCAGACTAAGCTCCTGTAAAGGGTGCAGCGTATGCATTTGGAAGAAAAAAACTTCTGTCAACAGCCAACATTATAAAAGCGGTTGACTTTCTGTGATTATGAGTGTGTACGCATGAGTCATTTCTTCAATGGCAGTGAATGAGTTAGACATGAAGCCAGATCAAAGCGTATGACAAAAACAATTCAATTTTAACCCTGCAGACCACCATTTGCAAATTTGAATTAGAATCACTTGTCAACAGCTAGCGTCAACCATGAGCTCATTTTGATTCCCGTTCGTATCCCTGAAAGGAAGCGTTGTTAACACCAGAATCCAAAGAGATGTACGGTTCACGGAGGCAATTCTGTGTGGTGACATCGAAAAATGGAAAAGCATAGCCGCAACAACAAACAATTACTTTAAATTGCACGTTGCGGCGACCACTCATACACTGGCTCTGATGACAAAGAGAGCCATTTTCCTTGTTGATCATCTCCTCCCGCACTCATTCATATTCACTCCCCACCTCCTCCCTCGTCTCACTTTCAATGGCAAAGTTACCCCCCGCCGTGACTTCGATCGCTCAGCGAGATGAAAGGAAAACAATTTGGGTCATATAACACGGGATGTCGGCAGGAAATGTATCGCGCCGTCCTGCGAGAACGCCGGCTACGGACGCCGGCTTTTTTCTCATCCCGCTGAGTGGCGACTGCATTTGCATTGAATGCATTCTAAAAGTGGCAAGTTCTTGCTGTATGTAAGCACCTTATTTGCACACCATTAGCGGCAGGTGTACTGTACGAGTCAATTTCTGTGACTCCGTGTATGTTCAAGTCTAATTATTGCACGAGAAGGTGGCTAAAAGGAAGGCCTGCAGCGCAGTTACGTGCTGCGCTATTCACTGTATATCCAGGTACATAGTTGCCCAAGCGTTTGTGAATATGAGTGTAAATGGGGTTTTTTTCCGGTGTATATTTGCCTTTCATTTGTCTGGCAATCAGGCCATGGGGTCCAGTCCGCAACTCGAATAGAATGTGGGGTCCCTCAAGGGTCAGTCCTTGAACCTCTTTTGTTCAGCCTGCACGCTACCCTTGGGTCATATTCTTCAGGGCGCCAATATTGGCTATAATTTCTATGACAATATCTGCTGAAAGCTATCAACATCCCCAAGTGACAACAGTTCAAAGTCGTTTGTTTCATTCGTTAGGATTCAGTACAATACAGTAGCGCGCGATACAACTTGATTGGGCAGAAAACAATCAAACAGGATACAACTGGCCGAAAGGTACTTGCCGTTTCTTCCATGTTGCTTCAGTGTGTTAGCCGATAGGTGGATGGAGCTGCCCTGTCCGCCCGTTTGGGGGAATTTCAGGTCAGGCAAATTCCCGTCGGTGCTCATCCGTGCAACCTCCAACTCTGTATACACAATTAAGCCTCAATTATTTGAGGAAATGGAGAATGTTGGTCATCATGACTACCGATCATGTTAATGGGATGTTTCTACTTGAGGGAGGCGTTTATTTGGCTTCAGTGGATGATACACTTATTGGCTACTTGGGGGATGGCATCAAAATACTGTAATATACATATAAGATGTAATTATAAACAGGAATTATTCATGGAGGAGTCTCGAAATGTACTTGATGAAGTGGATCATCCCACACCGGGGGACTGATTGGGAGGCAGTGGCATTTACTGGGCGTCATTACCATGAAAGATAACAATGGCAGGTGTTAATTTGGACTCAGTGGATTACACATCTAGTGATTAATTGGGACAAGGTTTCTTATTTGAGGAAATGCTGTATAATGACTGTCATCAAAAAAACAAACAAACAAAAAAACAAAACAAAACAATATGGACAACGGGAAGCATCAAATTCAGAGAGACGTTTATTTTTTCCAGGCGATGGTGCACCAAATGCCATATTGGGTTATGGCATCAATTTTTTTTCAGGGGATGATGCACCGAGTGCCTTACAGTTAGAGAGGTGTTTATTTGGGTTCAATGAATGATGCACCAAAACGCAAATTGGAGTATGGCGTTATTTGAGAAAATACTCTATCACTGATAATTAAAATGGTAGGTGGTTAGTTAGTTACAGATGATGACGCAATGAATGATTAATTGGGGCATGGCGTCTACTTGGGAGTGTTATTTACTGTAAAATAGGACACAGAGGTAGATTAACAGTTCCCTTGAATCCGTGCCTTCATTTTTAGAATTTTGGTCTTATTTCTATTCACCACCAGCCCTCTTGTGATTGCGTAAAAATGCTTTAGGCTAACATGCTAATCTGCCGGAATCTGTGGGCGAGATGTGTGCACCCAGAAGGAGACAAGGACGGCCTTTTCTTAAAAAAAAAAAAAAAAAAAAGGGGGGGATCGATAATGAGTCGCAGTAATCACAGATGCTTAAATGGGCCACCTTATTCTGGTTATAGAAGGCGCGGTACAGCGCAAACAAGAGAGGCGAGGCCTAGTAAACATGTCGCCGGCGCGTAATTAACAAGCGTACCGGCGCGAGCTGTAAAGTCTCCCATGGGTTGAGCAGCTGACGTCTCGTTCACCTTCCGAACAAGCCTGGATTCGCCCTAATACCTCGATGAATTGTGCGGCGGATATAATAAAATCCATTCTATTAATTCGCCTCGCTGTCGCTTCCTTATGAGCCACAAGACCTATATTTTATATTTTTAGGCTGCCATGGTAGCGGGGGGCTTAAAACTCAGACATGGGGTTGATGCTATTTCCCTTCGGTCGTCAGTTCTAGGTTGAAACTTTTATTTTTTCCACCATGGAAATAATGACTCATTGTGAGAAATATTCTATTGGAGAGAGACGTTTATTTGGCTGGAGTGGAAATGGAAGGAACACCAGGTGAGTAATTGGAGCGTTGAATATTTGAGGAACTATTTTCAGTGTGTAGCGGCACTCAAAATCACAGCCATGACAATGGCAGGCGTCTATTTGAGGAAGTCATTTCTTTTTCATTGGTGGATTGATACATCAGGTGAATAATTTGTGCCAAGTATTTGAGGAAATAGGTCATATCAGTCATTATCACGCTATTGAAACTTTGAGGTGTTGATTTGAGGCAGATGAACTTAGCGACTAATTGGGCAAGGCATCTATGAAAGGGATGTCCACTAGTCTACATAATACAGTAAATTGCTTGTCATCACAAATAAGGAAGGTAATGTCGACTTGAGGGAGGTAAATATTGGGTTTCAGTGTATGATTATTTGGGGAAGTGGGTTCTATTATTTAAAGAAATATGGTATACTGTATTCATGTTATTGTCACTAAAAATGGTGGGGGGGGGTTATTTGTCTTCAGTGGTTGACGCACTGAAATTGGAGCACTGTCAAAATTATTTGAAGAAATATATTGGGCTTTGTTAACCCCCAAAATGATCATGGAAGGTTTATATTTGAGGGCGGATGCAACAGGAGACCAATTGGGGCACGGCATCAACTATTTGAGAAAACATTTTGTCGGTACAATTTATCACCAATAATGATCATTCGAGGTGACTATTGGAGAGAGGTGTTGATTTTGGCGCCTGCAGACTAATATACTCACGTATGTTGTCGGTGTTCTCCTGCACGACGTCGGTCTTGAGCAGGTTGTCTGCTAGTATAAAGGCTCCCTGCTCGACCGTGTCCAGTAGTGTGGTGGCCGCCCGCAGCTGCTCGCCCGTGCTCAGTTCGCGCCACGCCGCCTGAGTCTGCGGCTGGAGCAGATTGTTCACCGTCTCCACCATGGCCTGCAAGTGATTTGAATTTCAGGTTATCATTCGAAAGAAATTTTTCATGAATCTTTTTCCAGTAGTAACACCAGTGAACACTGAATTCAGACAATATAAAGTTTCGAGAAAAAAACAAAAACCTAGCACTATATAATAACATACTTCATAAAAACATCGAGTAGATTGTGAAGAGTTAAAATGTTTGTGCATCATGATTGATTCAATTCATTGTGCTGCTCCTTCCGGTGTGACCACCATGGCCACCGGGGGCAGTCTAACATGCCACAGCAGGTTCACTGTACACACTTGCCTCTGCATTAAATACAAAAACAACAAATGCAGTTCCTAAAGCTGGAAATGAAGCAAAGGCCACTCAGAAGACAAAAGCAAGCGTTGCGCCACAACGCGGCTCTCGGTGGGAGTCTTTAATGGCCGTGATGGATTTTCTTCCATGCTGACATTCCCGTCACATAAAAAGCACTCAGGTGAAAAACGCCACGGCGTTGCTATGCGGCAGCCAGCGGACGAACCGGCTATTTACCGCTGGCATAACTATCCGGCGCGAGCCTCTGCCGCTCGTTAACGCCGGCGAGCGGCCATTACGCCCCGCTTTAATCCGCCAACAACAATGCTGGCGCAGGTAAAGCGGGGGAACAAACCGGAACATTTGCAAGACAAGATGAAAAATTAAGAGCCATTAAAGATTTAAAAATGCCAATGGCGATATTCGAGCATTGAATGCTAATTGTTTGAGAACATGCTGTTCATTCAAATGGGGCGACTGTCTGTACGTTTTGGCGTCTCCTTTGCTCATCTTCAAAGGCGACTTTTTGCACACACAGAATGGAAACGATTCATCTCATGGATTCCCCCCCTCCATAAAATCAGCACATTATGAAATGGACTTCGGCGATGACGTCAAAGGCGATAAGTGCGATTGTTCGGTGAGCTATCGAATGAATGCCTGATCAAAACAGTGACGGAAAGCAGCCTGAAGAGATTTTCGCACCAGGCAGTTATTCGAGAGGAGGCGGTCATTTTTAAGTATATTCTCACAATTTATTTTCAAAATGTAACGGTACAGCCCCCAAAAATATTTGTACAAGCAATTAGTTGTATTCGAGATAGGGAAGATGTTTATTTGCGAGGGCGTTCTCATTTTTTATAAAGTCTTTTATCAGTATCTTGCATAATTTACCTGTACCGTAAATACATTGTGCAAAGCAACCCTCATTTTTTATTGCATTCTTATGTCAGTATATTTTTTTTAGGTTGGAAAGGGATTTTTTGCGGAGGAGGCTCTCGTTTTGATCTACGGTCTAGAATTTGTGTACTGTCTAATTTAATTGTACAATAAAATAAACGGTTTGCACAAGGTAAAAGTATATTAGAGGGATATTAGGCATTTATTAGAAAGGAGGTCCTCATTTTAAATTTGATTCTTATACAAGCATACTGGTATATACCATTTACCCAGATCACTCACAAAAATATTCATACTAGGTAACCAGGCATAGTAGTGGTCGTTGAAAAGTTTATTGGAAAGGAGGCCTTTATTTTTTTTTCAAATGCCTTTTTTTAAATGTTTAAAAAGTTGTATTTTGGTGTTACAAGGTTATTCTCCTACACGAGTATTTAGACAATGGAATCAGACTCGAAGATGTAAGGTGTTTATTGGAGAGGAGACCCTCATTCTTTATATTGCCACATCAGATTATGCTAATTTATTTCCATGATCATATCAGTTGTGCAAGGTACTGGCAACGCACGGTGGGATTTTTATTTGATTCTTTTCCCACAGAAGGTGCATTTATGTGGCGCACGGTGGCCCCTATTTGCGGATGATTATAGTATCAGCCTGGATGCATTGCAACCCCACCGACACCTCCACAACACGGATGCAATGATTCATTATTTGCTGCAATCACACCTTATGCGCGAGAGACGCAGGTTGAGTTGCTCTCAATTAAAGAGGCTCTTTTTTTTTTTTTTTTTTAACACCGCCTCTTCAGGCAACTGACATTTGCCTTGCCTTTGTTCTCCACAACAGGAAATAAATGCCTGACATGGGAGATGATGGACGCACAGACCGAGTTTGGGTTGGTTGTCATGCGGAACATAGACGGCGGTGCGCAACGGTTGCAAATATGCAAACAAGGCTCTCATGAAACCAGAAGCTGGCTTTCAATTGTCTTCCCTAAACTGTGGCATCACTTCAAATCAAATCAATACAAAGGAAATACATGAAATCGTAATACAATAAAATAAAATACATTTAATTTATGTCACGCATATAATCATAAATAATCCTTTTGTTTTGTTGTGTTCAGCATTTTATTTTAAAGATTTATAAATTAAGAAATAAAATAAAAGTAATGTATTACAATAAATTTAAAATATATAATTAAAGTAATATGTATTCATTGTGATAGAATGTATTATTGTCACATTCATCACATTTTATTCATAAAATTAGCAAAAATATAACGATAATAATGATATATTTACCATATAACTGCGTTTCACAGTGTAATTATAGAAACTATTTTTGAACAATAAAGTTGTGGCGCCACTGGAAATAAGGTAAACACAAATGTATGTAAATAAATAGGCCTAACACAATAAACAGGTAAAAACATGAACATATATCGAATTTGACTAAACGAAAGAAAATGAAATGACATTTAATATTTGACGATTAAATTAAGAGGAACATACTTTAATCATAAAGAACATCTTCTGTTGCACATTTTTAGATACAAGTTAGAATTTGTCGTGAATCATCCTTACTTCCCTGAAAAGATGTGATTTTAAGTTTGAGGAAACGCTCGTGTTGAAGCAAACGACTGATGATCTGGTGTGAAGCGCTGCAACGCGTGCTCCATTTAAATGAGACAGACATTAGCCAGTCGCCTGGCGCCGGTCCAGGCCGGCCTGCGCTATGTTGTCTTCTAGTTGCACCACACGGATTGATGAAATCAACTCGGGAGGTCTGGGGAATTGATTTCTGATCTTGGATCCCCTGGAACCCCCCCCCC